TTATTTTTTTCGCGCAGAAATAACTCTTAAAATTTGCTTCTTATTTTAAAACGCACAAATAACTGGTATACTTGCGTTATATAATATAAAAAGCAAGAGTATCGCGCAAATTCTGCGCGATATTTTTAAAATGAAAATATAAAATGCAATTTTCATACAAGGTAGTTGTTTTTGTAATTCCATAGAAAATGTTTTAAAAGGTTGGTGCAGGTAAAGATTTAGTTCAGTTTTTTGTTTTTGTATTTTGGATTCATATTTTGTATTTATATTTGTATTTTGTAGGAGAACAAATTTGTATGCAAAATACAAAAACAAAAAACTAAACTAAATCTTTACCTGCACCAACCTTTTAAAACATTTTCTATGGAATTACAAAAACAACTACCTTGTATGAAAATTGCATTTCATATTTTCATTTTAAAAATATCGCGCAGAATTTGCGCGATACTCTTGCTTTTTATATTATATAACGCAAGTATACCAGTTATTTGTGCGTTTTAAAATAAGAAGCAAATTTTAAGAGTTATTTCTGCGCGAAAAAAATAAAAGGCATATAATAATTATTATTTTTGATGAATATAATAAAAATCAAATTTAATTATTATTTTTTGAGTTTTATTTTAAAAAGCTCATATATTTATTTACTTAAATAAGAGTTTAGACAACTTTTTGTTGCTGCTTTTTTTCATAAAAAATTTTAAAATAACTGTTATTTTCGGTCCCTGGTTCTAAGCCTTGGATTTTTAATTGTACGTTAACACAATTGGTATATAGGCCTAAGTGGATCCCTTGACATCGTGGGTATAACCTCACCTCATACTATTACTAAAAAATACTTCGCTCATGGTTGTTATACGCTAAGAATTTTAATGGAACCAGTCTCATCCGATCTATGATAGACTGTGCGTATTATGTGATAAGTTAGTAAGTTGTTCTCAACATTGGTTGACTGGAATTTGTTATTGTAAATTAATCACTTAGTTAAAGTGTGCTGACTCTGGGCTGCACATTTGGCAGAACACGAGTTCGATTACTGGTACTTGCAGTCTCAAAAAAAAAATATTTACGAATAATTAAATACAAGAATTATTTCCAACACCACTTATGATGGGTATTTGGTAATATTCGAAACAGCTGTATAGTCAGCCAAAAACTCATTTAATTTTGACTACTTTTCGAAAAACATTTTTATTTTCAGTATTTATATATTACTATTTATTATATAATTTTATTTTTTAGATTATTATATTTTTATATATTTTTATTTTTTACAAAACATTATTTTTTATATATTTTTATTTTTTATATATTTTTATATTTTATTATATTTTTATTTTTATGCATTTTCATTTTATTTTTTATTTTTATTTTTTATTTTAGTTTTTATATATTTTTATTTTATATCTTAATGTTTTATATATTTATCTTTTTATTTGATATTTTTTTATATTAATCATTTTGTTTTTAAACGGGAAAATTGGTCAATAGTTTTATAATACACATTCAAATTTTTTTTTGTTTTTTAAAAATTATATTACTCTGAAGATGACTATAGAATATTGTCGAAATATTAGTTCAAATAAAATCTTAAAAAAAAATTTTAAAAAGATTTTTATATAACTATTAAGCAATTAGCATGTTTAAAAACAAAATTATTATTAAAAATTTTAATCATTGAAATAAATTTTTTTATTATGTTTTTTATATTTATATTTTTGTATATTTTTTAACATTTTTATTTGCTTTCACTTATTTGTTATTATAAAGTATTTACTTATTTACTGATTTTATTTTTATATTTTATGGCCAAAGGTCAGGTCTTGAATATTTCCAAGATCACTGATGATGGGTATTTGGCAATGCTCGAGACAGCACTATGGCCAGTGAAAAATTCAATTATTTAAAATAATATGAAAAAAAATTTTTGTTGTTGTAGTTCACTACTTTTCGAGAAACTTCTTTGTAAATTAATTAAGTTATTTTTTCCCTTTCGGTTAAAATTTTTATATAGAAATAATGTTAGGAGAACTTCTTCCAGCTAGGGAAACCGATATAATGAAAGACTTGTCACTGAATTATTAGAAGATAAAATATTAGAAAACAAAAATTAAAGAGGAAAATAATTTAATAATATTTTTAAAACTTTTTTTATTTAAAAATAATGAAATCATAAAAAAAGAGTTTAACATATTTTTTACTTACTCCAGCGATTTACTTTAAGTGTGACCTCGACGAACTCAACTTCTAACTCCCGCTCTGGCTGTAGCTGTGGGTCTGACTCTGGCTCTGGCTCTGACTAGTCACGTGAATTGTTCTATTGCGAAATTCATTAAAATTTTGTTGTGCCTTTTCAAGCTTCGCTCAAGTGTACATCAAAAACAATAACAATTACAACGACACAAACAAACGACACAAACAAACGACACAAACAAACGACACAACAAACGACAGAACAAACGACGCAAAATGGCAATGCAACACAATGACAGCACACAAGTGAAGTCCTTGTTTGACGTTAGTCGCCCGTTAAACGCATTGTGTACCTCTATTGTTTGCATGTGTGCAAGAGTGTGTAGACCTTCCACTCCGCGGTTGCAAGTCCGTCCAGCTCTTTAGAAGGATTTTTATTTTTATTTTTGTTTTTGTTTTTATTTCATTATGTTTGTTCGTTTACCCGCTCATTTGACTGCGCACAAAATTATTCTGCCGTTCATTTGCCGTTTATAATTTTTTTAATTGCTTTCATTTAAATTTATTTTGCACGAAGTTTTCTAATAAATTCGCTTTCATTCTACCGCAAAGGAAAAACATAATTTTGATATAACATAATTAGTTTCATATTTAAATCACAATGAAAAAATCTCGCAAGTATTTAATTCTCGATTCTAGAAGAAAATTCTTCTTAGAAATTCTTTAATTTTCTAGTTTCCTTACGATCACCGGCATAACCAAACCAAACCTAGCCCTTTATAACTGGAGCTCGAATGGAAGCTTTATGTATTCTAGATTCTCGGACATAGAGATGTGGAAGCGAATAAGACAACAAAAAAGCTTACTCAACAAAGCGCACATTTACCATATATCTATTGTCTAGGTATATAAAAAGTTGGTGCATGTAACAGTCTGGTTCACTTCTTAACAGAACACATGAAGGATAGATAGCAAGGACTTGACATTTGCATATAACAAACTGGCACACTGCCTTACTGAGCACTAAAAGGACAAGGCTAAGATTTGGCATTTGCAAATAACAATCTGGTACACTTTTTAACAGAACACAGAACACTTGAAGTATAGGTGGTAAGGACTTGACACTTGCATATATTCGCAACAGCCTGGTACACTTCTTAACAGAACACATGAAGGATAGATGGCAAGGTCTTGAAATTTGCATATAACTATCTAGTACACTCCTATACTCAACACTTAAAGGATTTGGTACTTGCACATAACAATATGATACACTTCTTAACAGAACACCAAAAGGGTAGTTGACAGTGACTATAACAATCTGGTATATTTCTTTACTGAATTCCTAAAATTACAGTTGAAAAGAATTTGGTACATGTAAGGTAAGTAAAACAAACTATAAAGCCCAAAAACTCATCAATTCCATTTTCGGTCTTCCTCCTAAGCATACCAGATAAATGACTGACGCACCAACAGTACACCATCTGTTAAAGATATACTCTCTCAAGATGGACCTGGAGGGGAATGATAACTGCGGGAAATGCAACAAATTTGAAATAGAAAAATCTTTGGAACAGTTGCTATTTTCATGCTCAACTTTGTCAAAAATACGGTTAAAACGCTATGTTATTGCACGGTTTCATAACCTTAAGGATTTAGCCAAGCGAGAATGCTTCTTTAAATTAGCAAAGATTCTTGTACTTTATTTGAGTAACTTTTGGATGATTTAAATCAGGGCTGTCCAAAGCACAGCCAACGGGCCTCTTGCGTCCCGCAGTTAATATTTATGGAGCCCGCGATATCTTTCCAATATATAACATTTAGGTAATTAATGCAGTACACTTTAACTATTGTCTTTATCAGGCTGCCGAAAGCACAGCCCGTGGGTCTCAAGCGGTTCACCTCTAAATTTGTGTGTGCGCGATATGTTTCTAATGTCACAATTAGGCAAATTTTTGTTTGTTATATTTTTATAGAATAATATTATATAATTTTTAAAATATCTTAAATTAATAAATTATAATATTTTAAATAGTTTATTACACTTTACGTTCATTTACTTAATTAACAAAGACTTTAGTATATATTTCTTTGAAAAACTGGTTCAAAAAACTCGTACCCAATGCTGTTATTCATGATATTAAAAATAATATATTTTTTATATGGTTACAACGAATATTAATATTGTTATTGATAACATAGAATTGTAGAAGATAAACTAATAAAGAATTAATAAAACTAAATTTAACATTATCGTTGTATATTTGTTTTTCTCTGGAAAAATTATGAACATATTTATTTATCTCTGCGGACCTCCAACCTATTAATTGATTTGTATTCGCCCACGATCCTATCTGGTCTGGACAGCCCTGATTTAACATATAAAGTATTAATGTGGTTCTGAATAGCTAGTATTTTGGTGCTTTATTCTAGCAATTTAACATAGTGTTAATGGAATTGCTATATATATACTTAACAATGCATAGAACTTAAGTGATAGATATCATACATTTGGATATGTAGTGTTTTAATATAGCTAAATGGTACAGTAGTACTTCAAAACTAACGATTTCATTCTGCATCTTATGTCTCATTGCAGCCTTTTCGATAGTATGCAGTCTAATAAACACTTTCTTATTTATTCAATTTTTTTATACTGCACGAATGTTAATCAATAATAGAAATGTTCTTGTGATATACTAAGAAACTCACAAATAAATAAACTTAAAAAAATGTAAAATTAAATATAATCTTTCATATTATGTCTATTATATCTAAATAAATAATTTCAACTTAAATAAAACTTATAAAAACATACTTTAATAGAACACTTCTCAATTAACACATTACTATACCAATGCAATATAAAAATCCATATGTCTCTATCGACGCCCTTCTAACAGCTGCCATTGTCTTCGTTCTAGTGGTGTACAATGTCCGTTTACTACAGATAGCACTATATTTTTTAATTAAATTTTGAAAGTTTAAAAGTTTAGTTTTCCTTACAGTGGAAAGTTTTAGTGACCTCCACACCGGCCCTACTTATCAAGCTGAAATATAATCTATAATAATCTATCAGTTTTCGTTTTCATCAGACATTATTCCCAAAAATGTTCATCAGTGCCGATTGAATGGTTTTAGCTTGCACTGACAAAAAAAATGTATATCGTAAATAATTAGTCACTCAAATTTCATTTTTCTCTATATAGGTAAATGAATAATCCTTGATTATAAGTAGATAATATTTATATGGGACGTTTCGAAGTGTTGGTAGTCAGTGAAGTTCATTTATTTTATTTTTCGACATCATTTATTTACATTCTAAAATAATGTTTATGATATATTTATGATTCGATCAATTCGATTAGTTTCAAAGCTAATTGACAAATTTATAGACCTTTAGTCAAACTGATATCCGCATCATTTACCGCATCTTATTTTGTTAAATCTATTTTGATAAAGTTAATTTAAGTTACGATAAGGATTAGTCGTCTTAAATATTCTTGAACTAGTAAAGAAGCGTAAAGAAGGAAAAGTTTGGGCAATCGTTCATAATTTTTAGAAAAATGTTCATCAAGTTAAGATCTTAAAGCACAGGTTCAAATATCGCATCTTAGAATCATAAAAAATCATAGAAGCATAGAAACTTTTTATGTACTTAGTATATTTTAGCCAAAAATAAATATTACATCAATTTATAGTTCTTATTGACAGTAATTTAACATATTTATATATACTTATCGCGTTGTAATAGATAAGGAATAGATTCAGACTTACTTTAATATAAAATATCAACTCCTGAAGGTTAGGATCCATTTGGTTAATGGTGTCAGTTCCTTAAGTATAATAAACGACGTTCCTGATTTTATTGTATTTTGTATATCACATCAAGAATCTATGAAAATATATGATACTTCTCTTCAAAATTTTATAGCAGGGCATTCTTCTTTGTGCTGAACGGTGGCCCTATTGCTCATGTACTCAATACCTCTTACTCAATCGGCATAAATATGCAAGAAAAGTTTCTGTTCCAAGAAATGAAAAAGTTCGCATTTATGAAGAAGGGGGCATGTTTTCAAAATTATCCGAGGTACAGAGGGTCAAAGAAAGATCTGTCAAAAACAAGACATGCCGTTATTTAAACACTATATATCTAAAATTAATTATTTTCTAAATACTATTGTTCTATCCAATTATAACCCCAACTTTTAGTTCTGTCTCCTTTTGGATTGAGTACAGAAAATATTGAAATTTAAGATTATTTTTTTTATGGAATATCTCAATTATTTTTGAAGAATTCCTTTTTTTTTCGAAATGTGTGTAAATTTTCATTTATTCGTTTTTTGTATATTAAAACCTTATAATCTGGCAAACGATTTGGGCGAAAGTTTTTAATAAAATTTTTTAAATTTCTCCTAAGAACATACAAACCGTAGAGTAACAGGAATTTGTTTTAGACTATTAGTACTATTTTTAAATGACTATATCTCTGACTTTGTAAAAGGGATAAAACATTTTAAACATTTTATAAGAATTGTATTCCAATTGTTGAAATTGTTGTAAATAATGATTACAGTTCGATAGGTTCACCTTGTATTTGTGCCCTATGGATAGGTAATAACTTAACAAATGTGTTTTTCACACTTTTACAATTCTAGGAACAATAATATTTCATCATTCTTAAGAAACTAAATTTATAAACATGTTTCTTAAACATGTTTCCAATAACTAATCTCATTTTAAATACTTGAATTATATGCTTTATTAATTAAGTTGCAAATTTAGCTTTATATGGTATACCGTTTTTAGCTGGGTTTTATTCTAAGGATATAATTTCAGAAATTGTATCTTTAAGTTATGTTAATGTGTTTTATTTTTTTCTATTTTTTTTTTCTACAGGAATAACTGTTAGATATTCAATTCGCTTAGTTTATTATTCATTAATTGGAAATTTTAATTTGAGAGATAATTGTTGAGTTTTATTAAAAGGAATACTTGGGATATTATTTATAAGAATTATTGAAGGAGGGTTATTGAATTGATTGTTATTTGTTACTCCTCCAACAATTTGTTTACCTAATAATTTGTTTATTGACTTTAATTTTTTGTATTTTAATGGGATTTATAGGATATTATATTTCAAAAATTTCTTTATATTTTTTCAATAAGTCTTTATAAAATTATTTATATAAATATATATATATAAATTTAATTTACAAATTTATATTGAATAAAAAATTATAGTTAAAAATTATTTTTATGGATTATAAATAATTTATTTGAATAATATATTTATATTAAATTTTGTTATTTAATATAAATTAATTAAAAAATTTATAATTGGTATGAAATTTTCGTAAATAATTATTAAAGGGGACAAAATCGTAGCTAAGAATTATTTTTATGGGTTATAAATAATTTATTTAATTAATATATTTATATAAAATTTGTTTATTTAATATAAATTAATTAATAAATTTATAGTAAGTACAAAATTTTTGTAAATTATTATTAAAGAGGACAAAATTGTAGTTAAGATATATTTTTATGGGTTATAAATAATTAATATATTTATAAAAAATTTTGTTATTTAATATAAATTAATTAAAAATTTACAATAGGTATTAAATTTTTGTAACGTATTATTAAAGGGGACAAAATTGTAGTTAAGAATTATTTTTATGGGTTATAAATAATTAATATATTTATATTAAATGTCGTTATATAATACAAATTAAATAATAAATTTATAATAGGTATAACATTTTTAAAATTATTATAGCGTTTAATTTTAGCTTACATAATTCTTTAAAATTAATTTTACATGTAAATTTTTGTGTGATTATTAATTTTAAAAATTGATATTCATAATTGATATTAATAATTTGAGATATTAAAAATTAGTTATAATTATAATGTTAACAAATTTTGTTTATGCAGTTGCGGTTAAACAAATATTATAAATATTTTATTTTAAAATTAGTGAAATTATTTATATTAGGCTTAAAATTAATTTATTAGGTGAAATTATAAATTAATTTAAAATTTATTGAAAAATAATTGAAAGTTAAAAAACTTTTAATGTAAACTAGGATTAGATACCTTATTATTAAAAATGTAATATTAAAATTTTTAGGTAGTAATAGTTATATTCTTGAAACTTAAAAAATTTAGCGGTATTTTAGTCTATCCAAAGGAACTCTTCCTCTGGATAGACTAATTTAATAAATAATCCAAGTTGGGCCTTATTTAAGTTTATAATCAGTTTATCAGTTTATTATTGTCGTTATCAAAAAATTTTAAAAAAAATTTCTTAAATTTATAAATAATTTTATTTCAGATCAAGGTGTAGCTTATATTTAAGTAAAGATGAGTTACATTAAATATATTTATATAAATATTAGTGTGAAAAAATAATTGAAAGCCGATTGAAAGTAAATTTATAAAAACAAATAAATTGATTTTAGATCTAAAATATGTACATATAGCCCGTCACTCTTATTTTAAAATAAGATCAGTCGTAAAATAGTAGATTTACTGAAAAGTGCATCTAGAATGACAATTTAAAACTTAATTAGTAAAGAATTTCATTTACAGTGAAAAGATTATTGTGCAAATTAATTTAATTATTGTAAATTGATTTAAAACTTATTTAATAATTTATTTTTATTGTTTAAAATTGGTTATTAAAAATAATTATAAATTTATAAATTTCAGTAAAGTTTATTGAAAAAATACTTTTTATTATAGTTTATTAATATTGTAAAAAAAAATTAAAATATATTGAAAAATTTTTATTTCAAAAGAAAATTTTATTTATTGTTTATCTGGGTTTATTTAATAAATAATATGTATATATTTATTTTTTTTAATTTGTTTTTTTAAATAATAATGGTAAAATTAGTATATCAATATGTCTGAATAATAAAATTTGAAAAGTTTAGATAAAGAATTCGGCAAATTTTATATTAGCCTGTTTTACAAAAACATCTCTTTTTGTATTCTATTTGAGGTTTAGCCAACCTATTGAATACTTTAAAAGGCCGCAGTATATCTGCTGTGAAAAGGTAGCATCTTAACCATTTAGTAGCCGAGAACCATATGTAATAAGCGGCTATGGAAAATTACAAATCAGCAGCCGATTGAAAAGCAGATAATGAAGCGGAAATATGGCTGGCCGGGACATACCCTGCGTAAACCAATTAGCGAAATTTCACACTCAGCATTAGAATGGAATCCACAAGGTAGAAGGAATCATGGACGACCGAAAACTACATGGAGAAGATCGATAAACAGGAAACTAACAAATCGTTCAGCGAGCTTAGACCATTAGCGCGTAATAGGGGTGTCTGGATAGCATATGTGAGTATTGTAATTATAATTAATATAAAATGTCATTATTATTATAATAATAATAAAGGCAGCATAATAATAAGTGTTTTAATTTAAGGCTGGAATAAGTGGTTGGATGAGATATAAGCTGTTTCATTTAAGATTTTTATAGAAATTTATTTTTTAGTTAAAAAGCTAAAATATATTCAAAAGACGAGAAGACCCTATAAATCTTGATTATTTAATAATTTTTGATTTAATTTGATTATTTTTATGATAAATTCAAAAATTAATTTTATTGGGGTGATAATAACTTTTAATAGTTTTTATCATTTATTTATGATTAAGTGATCCATTATTAGTGATTAAAAAATTAAGTTACTTAAGGGATAACAGCGTAATTTTTTTGGAGAGTTCTTATGGATAAAAAAGTTTGCGACCTCGATGTTGGATTAAGATTCATATTTAAATGCAGAAATTTTAATATAAAGTCTGTCTGAGTCTGATTAAAAAATTAAGTTAATTAAAGGATAACAGCGTAATTTTTTTGGGGGTTCTTATCGATAAAAAAGTTTACGACCTCGATGTTGGATTAAGATTCATTTTTAAATGCAGAAATTTTAATATAAAGTCTGTCCGACCTTTTATTCTTATATGATCGGAGTTCAAACCGGTGTACGCCAGGTTGGTTTCTATCTTTGATTCAATAAAATATTTTAGTACGAAAGGAATAATTTATTTTCAAAAAATTTATTTTATGAAAATATTTAATTACTATTTTTCCAAATTAGTGCAATTATATAATATAATTTATTTATATAATTTTAAAAATTATAAATAGTACTTGTTTTTAAATGAAGTTATTATATCTTTATTGAGAAGTTCATTATTAATTATTTGTGTTTTAGTAGGTGTAGTTTTTTTAACTTTATTAGAACGTAAAGTTTTTGGATATATTCAGATTCGTAAAGGTTCAAATAAAGTTGGGTTTATTGGAGTAGGAACAAACTAAGGAACAAACTTATCCATTAATATCTTATCCATTATATTTCTTACTATTATTCTACTATTTTTTCATTGCTTTTATCTTCATTAGTTTATATTAGTTTATTTAGTTTATATTGAGAAGATTATATAGATTTAATTTAAGTTTATTATTTTTTTTAAGAATTACAAGAATAGGAGTATATACTGTAATAATTGCAGGATGATCAAGAAATTCTAATTACTCATTATTGGGGGGTTTGAGCTATTGCTCAAACTATTTCTTAAGAAGTAAGATTAGCTTTAATTTTATTCCCTTTTATTTTTTTTTAATTAAAGGATATAAAATAATTGATTTTATAAAATTTCAATATTCCATTTGGTTTTTTGTACTTTTATTTCCTATAGCTTTTATTTGATTAAGAATTTGTTTAACAGAAACTAATCGGACTCCATTTGATTTTGCAGAAGGAGAATCAGAGTTAATTTCTGGACTTAATGTAGAATATAGAAGAGGAGGATTTGTTTTAAGTTTTTTAGCTGAATATGCAAGTATTTTATTTTTAAGTATATTATTTTATGTAATTTTTTGGGATGTAATTTATTTAATATATTTTTTTTCAGTTAGTATTTATTTCTTTTTTGTTCATTTGGATTCGAGGGACTTTACCTCGGTTACACGGTATGATAAATTAATATATTTATCATAAAAGTGTTATATACCTTATTCGTTAAATTTTTTATTATTTATAATTGGGTTAAAAATGTATATATTTATAAAAATTATTTAGGTAAAGTTAATAGAAAATATTAATTCTATCTTATATTATCATAATATTTGATAATTTCAAGCTCATTAACTACAATTTTGATTTAATAAATTGTCTCATCATTTATTAATTAATAGATTAATTAAAAAATATAGAAAGTAAATGATTGTTAAAATTTTTCCGATTATAACATTAGATTCTTCAATTAAATAACAGTTAATAGTATAATTTAAAATTAAATTTGATTAATAGGACTAAATCGTAATCTTTGAAATTTTTCTATATTATAAAATGGTATGATAATTAATATTGGAATTGATAATACTAAAGCAGCTACTCCTCCTAATTTATTGGGAATTGAATGTAAAATTGCATAAACAAATAAAAAACATCATTCTGGCTGAATATGAATAGCGTTATATAAAGGATTAGCTGGAATAAAATTATCTGGGTCACCTAATAAATAAAGACTTATTATTATTATTAGTATGAAGAGTTCGTATTAATCATCCATAATTCACATCTCAACAAATATGTCTAATTCTGTTAAATGCTATATTGAATCTGCTGTATAATGTATAACTAAAAATAATTCAGTTAAAATTTGAATGATTAAACATAATCCTAATAGGGATTCATAATTTCATCAGGAAGAGATGTTAATTGGGGTTGGTCAATCTACTAAAGAATTATTTATGATTTTGAATAGGAGGTGTTTAATTCGTATGGGTTTATTCATTTATTTTACAAGTCGAATTGTTCCAAAAAATATGTTAGTAATTTTTACAATTAAAATTAAATTTTACAATTAAAATTACAATTGCATTTAAAGTAATTAATAAATAATTTATTAAAAAAATTGTTATGAAAGTAGTTGGGTAATTATATAATTTAGTTAAAATATAAAAATTTCTTTAATTAAAATTTTTAAGTTGGTTAATTATCTTAATTCTTTATTTATAAATGTATCTATATTAATATAATTATATATAAAACTTCATAAAAATAAAATTCTTATAATTAATAAGATTGTTCCTATCAATCTTTTAATTTTTTAACTAATATTCCTCCTAAAAAAAAATAAAAATAAAATATAAGCAAATCAAAATGTTTTTGAAATTAATACTGAAAAAATTAAGATTAAAATTGTTTGAATTAATAATATTAATCCTATTGCTAATGGAGGATATACAGATGAAAATATAATATTTGAGATTAATATTAAAGTTAGAATTAGTAGATGTGAAATTTCAAAAAATAGTTTAATTAAAATATAAATTTTGGGAATTTGTGATAAAGAATTATTTTTTTTTTCTTGAGAGTTTTGAAAGATTATTCTTATTTTTGATTCACAAGACCAATGTTTTTATTAAACTATAAAAACTTAAAAAAATAATAATTTATTTTTGATTATTTTGTTGTGTTATAGTATTAATTGGAATTTTTTCTTTTATATCTAATCGAAAACATTTGTTATCTATATTATTAAGTTTAGAATTTATCGTTAGGTTTAGAATATAATAGGTTATAGAAATTATTTTATAATAATATATTTAACATTAAGAGTCTGTGAAGGGACTTTAGGTATTTTTATTTTGGTTTCTATAATTCAAACTCATGGAAACGATTATTTTCAGTCATTTAGAATTTTATAATGTTTTTTTAATATTATATTTTGAATGGTTCAGAATATAATAATTTTATTTAGATTCATTTTAATTTTATTTAATATTTATAGTAGCTATTTCATAAGCATTTCTTATTTTTTAGGATGTAATATAATTTCTTATGGATTAATTTTTTTAAGATTTTGAGTTTGTGCATTAATATAAATAGCAAGAGAAAAAACTAATAAGTTTAAAAATTATAATAATTTATTTATAATTAATATAGTTTTTATATTAATTTTTTTAATTTTAATTTTTTCTAAAATACATATTTTTGCTTTTTATTTTTTTTTTGTTTTTGAAGGTATATTGATTCCATTATTATTAATTTTAGGGTGATTATATCAACCTGAACGATTACAAGCTGGGATTTATTTATTATTTTATACTTTATTTGTATTTTAACGTATATTAATAGGAAGTTTCTATTTGAATGAAAAGTTTATTTTTAAGTTTATATTATAAACTATATTATTATAAACTTATTTTATTTATATTATATGTTTAATTATAAATTATTATTTTATTTTTCTATAATTTTAGCTTTTTTATTTAAAGGTCATGTTAAAGCCACAATTTCTGTTTCAATAATTTTAGCTGGAATTATGTTATGGAATTATGGAATTATTACTATTGCATTATTTGTAGGGGTTGCATTTTGCATTTCACGCCTTAAATCAGTCAATTTATTTATAATGAGCTCATTTATATGAAAGCTCTTTTTATGGTATATTATCCACACTCACTGTCTTAATGAGGAAAACTACTTAAATGAGACAAGCGAAAACTTGGTATTAGAGAAACGTTGATTGGAGAAGATTATATTATGCATGAAGGAGGCTATGTTAATGAATTTGTAGAGTTTTATCAATGATTGCTCTTTTACTGTTTCATGATGCAGACTTATACACTGATGTGCCTCTTATATCCCTCACACAAAGTGTGAAAAACATGAATTTGTTAAATGTTTTTAGGTTATTTATAACACATGGCAAACAATATATCAATGATATAAATAATTATGTCATATAAGTTAATTTTGTTTTTAACACAGAAACGTTTAAATAACGTTTTAACGTTTAAATAGGGGGCAGTGCTGTGTTCATATCATATTTCGCCTTCTGACTGCTGTCTATAATGTTTACAAATATATGATAGCACTTACCTCTCAGTATTTAAAAAAAAAATATTTTATCTGTGATAGAGTAATAGTAATAGTGATATAATAGTGCATTTTGACGAAAACAGAAGGTAATTGTAGATATTTTGACAACGAGACGTAACGAAGGGAATTTCACAAACCCAATAAAGGGCCTGAATGAATGATATCTCTATTTTTTAGTAACGTAAGCAATTGTTTTAAGATCATACAATTTCTAATTACAAACTAAAAACGAATTCATGAATGCAGTAGGAATTCATTTTTTTAATCGTAGACGAAAACATTCAAATTCCTTCCTGAAAAGTGGAAAATGTTGAGCGCGTGCACAAATCCTACTCCTTTAAATACCAATCTGAGTTACAGTACAAACACACGGACAATACCGCGTTCATTTACATTCACGTTTGCAATCAAAGTTTCAGAGACGCATTCAAATCACTTGGAGCGCACTTCAAAATGGTAAAGTGGAAAATCATTGAGAATTGAGCATTGGAATTCGTCCGTATTATATTGCCCTTCTTGTTAGGCGCTGAGTTCTAAGCCCACCTACCGCCTGCCAACCCACCGTTTCAAATACCTTAACTACATATATTTTTTTAATTTTTTACCAATTTTTTATGTTTGTGTGTTAAACTGCAGTTGTCTGAAGCGCTTATGAAAATATTTACACACATTGATTGTGTTGAATGTTGAACTGAAATTTTCAATTTTACGAAAACTCACTTTTATGGATTTTTTGACTGTTTTCAATAAATCACTATAAGTTGAATTGGTATGCTTAGTTTCTGACACTGCTTCCTAGTGCTTCGTATATTGTATTTGTGTAACCACTGGCAAATCGACTACCATCTAACGTATTCAAACAAAATTCTTATGTGGTTAAGCAGATTATTACAGAATTGAAAA